TTTTTTTTGACAGGGTCTCACTCTGTTGCCCAGACTGGAATGCAGTGGTGCAGTCACAGCTCACTGTAGCCTTGACCTCTTGGGCCCAGGTGATCCTCCCAACTCAGCCTCCTAGTAGCTGGGACCACTATCCTGGCTAATTTTTACATTTTTTAAATATAGATGGGGTCTCACTATGTTGCCCAGGCTAATTTCAAACTACTGGGCTCAAGTAATCCTCCTGCCTCAGCCTCCCAAAGTGCTGGGATTACAGGCATGAGCTACCAGGGCTGGCCTGTTACCCAATTGTTTTATTTATTTACTTATTTATTTATTTATTTTTCTTTTTATTTTTTTATTCTTTATTCTTTTTTAACCTACTAGAGAACAATACCCAATTGTTTTAATTTACTTTCTCCTGATTGCTAGTAGCATTGAACCTCGTCTTATGGTTTATTGCTCATTTTCATGTTGTCTGTGAATTACCTGTTTGTTTCCTTTGCTCATTTTTCTTTTAAGTTATTTGTCTTTTTCTTCTTGATTTATAGAAGGTCTTTATTCTAGATAATAAAACTTTTTGTCATTTAAATATATTATAGGTATTTTCAACCAATATGTTGCTTGTTTTTTTAACTTATCTTTTATTGCATAGAAGTCCTTTTATGAGGTTAGGTTTATCACTCTTGTCCTTTATTAAGACCTTTAGATTTTGTGTCTTTCATAGGAAGGCCTTCCTCATTTTAAAATTAGAAAATATTCTTTCCAGGCACGGTGGCTGATGGCTGTAATCCCAGCACTTTGGGAGGCCAAGGCAGGTGGATCACCTGAGGTCAGGAGTTCAAGACCAGCCTGGCCAACATGATGAAACCCCAGCTCTAACTAAAAATACAAAAAATTAGCTGAGTATGGGGTCAGGCACCTGTAATCCCAGCAACTCGGGAGGCTGAGGCAGGAGAATCACTTAAACCCGGGCAGTGGAGATTGCAGTGAGCTGAGATCACGCCACTGCACTCCATTTTGGGCAACAAGAGTGAAACTCCATCTCAAAAATAATAAAATAAAACAAAATATTCTTCTGTATTTTAATTCTTAAGATTTTTTTTAGTTTGTATAGTTCTTTAACACATCTGGACTTTATGTTATGAGATAACAGATGCTGTGATTTTTTCTACGTGGAAATTTTCCCAAGGCCATTTACTGAGGCCATCTTCTCCCCACTAATTTAAAATAGGGTGAGAACCTTTTAATGGATTTTGATACCAAGTGGGAAACTGCTTTCTTAAAAAGGATGAGCTAGTTTATGCAAACTGACATTGGCAATGTGTATCTGCCCATTTCACTGCAGCCTTGCGAGTATTGGTATCGTTGTATTGATTGTAATTTAAGTTAATTTAAATTACAACTTAATTTGTGTTTATATTGATACAAAGTTATTTTCACTTCTCAGTGATATAAATAATGGTATATGGAATACTTTATTGAATAGAATCCATGCCAAATCACCTGGTATTATAGAAAGCCTTAAAAACTGAGTAGGGCCAGGTGCAGTGGCTCATGCCTAGAATCGCAGCATTTTGGGAGGTCAAGGTAGCAAGATTGCTTGAGCCCAAGAGTTTGAGTCCAGCCTGGGCAACACAGTGAGACCCTGTCTCTACAAAAAAATTTTAAAATTAGCCAGGCAGGTGGTGTGTGCTTCCCACCCCCCGCCCCGGGACAGGGTCTCACTCTGTTGCCCAGAATGAAATGCAGTGGTGCAATCACAGCTCACTGTAGCCTTGACCTGCTGGGCCCAGGTGATCCTCCCAACTCAAACCTCCTGATTAGCTGGGCCACTAGGCTGGCTAATTTTTGTATTTTTTATAGAGATGGTGTCTCACCATTTTGCCCGGGCTAATCTCAAACTTCTGGGCTCACATAGTCTCACCTACTCAGGAGACTGAGGTGGGAGGATCACTTGAGCCCAGGAGGTTGAGGCTGCAGTGAGCTGTGATTATGCCACTGCACTCCAGCCTGGGCGACAGAGTGAGACCCCATTAAAAAAAAAAAAAAGGAAATACAAGAAAAGAAGTGTGAAAGTGTGAAAATGTGAAGAAATACAAGAAAAGCGTGAAAGTGTGAAGATGGAAGCTCCCGCCTCACCCCTCATTTTCTTCCATCTTCTCTTCTGTGCCTTTCATAGGATCTGCTGCAGGACAACTGGTCCTCATCACAGCCAGGGTGACCACAGAAAGGACTGCAGGAACCTGCTTGTATTTTAGTGCTGTTCCAGGAATCCTGCCCTCCAGCCAGCCACCCATATCCTGTTCAGAGGAGGGGGCTGGAAATGTCACCCTGAGCCCTAGAATGGGTGAGGAGTGCATTAGGGTCTGGAGCCACGAAGGCCTTGTGCTAACCAAGCTGCTCACTTCGGTAAGAGCCTCAGATCGGTCGCTAGGGTTTTGTAGACTCCATGCTGACTGCTATATCTTGAAGGTTCCTGGAAGCAATTCTACCTTGTAGAAAAAGCACAGGTTTTATAACCCTGCCTTGGGGGCTGTGTGACCTACAGCAAGTGTCTAAACATCTCTGAGTGGCAGCTTCCTCATCTGTAAAACAGAAAACATGACCCTATCTCTTAATTCCACCAAATAAGGATTAAATGAGAATGACTGTGAAGTGTCCAGCACAACATAGAGATTTGATAAATGACAGCTATTATTATTGACTGTTGTCTTTAAAACATTATCTTTTCCTCAAAGGATTTCAGAAGCTGTAATAAGAGGCAGATGGGCTAATTGCTATTAGACAGATGTGAGCAGAGTGTTATGCAAACACAAAGTAAGGAGCCATTAACCCTAACTTGAACATTTATGGAGAGTGCTTCACAGAGGAGGTGTCATTTACAAAAGAGCATTGTGTACAGTAGTTTAAAATGCACAGAGTGCTCTCAGGGTTCATTAACTCATTTGATCTTAAAATAGCTTTTTGAGGTAGGTGTTATTCCACTTTACAGATGAGGAAACCAGTTTAGAGAGAGGGAGTGAATTGCTAAAGGCCAAACAACTGGTTAAGTGGCAGAACCAGGGTTGCAACTCATACCTTCCGTGTGGTCAGGATGATCCTTGAAGAATGAGGAATATTTGGACAGGGATTGCAGTAGAGAAGTTGCAGGAGATGGGGAGGCACACTCCAGACAAAGGCACCAGGATGGGTATAGGTCTAGGGATTGATAAGTGTTGGTCGGTGTGGAGCCTGTAATCTCAGCACTTTGGGAGGCCGAGGCGGGCACATCACCTGAGGTCAGGAGTTCAAGACTAGCCTGGCCAACATGGTGAAACCCTGTCTCTACAAAAATACAAAAACTAGCCAGGCATGATGGCAGGTGCCTATAATCCCAGTTACTCGGGAGGCTGAGGTGGGAAAATCGCTTGATCCCAGGAGGTGGAGGTTGTAGTGAGCCAAGATTGTGCCACTGTCCTCCAGCCTGGCGACAGAGCGAAATTCCATCTCAAAAAAGAAAAAAAAAAGAAAAGTGTTCAGTTAGGTCTCACACCTGTAATTCCAGCACTTTGAGAGGCCAAAGCAAGGAGAATGCCTGAGGTTAGGAGTTCAAGACCAGCCTGGGCAACACAGCAAGACCCTGTTTCTTAAAAAACTTTTTTTTTTTAAATTAACAGGGTGTAGTGCTGCATTGCACACCTGTAGTCCCAGCAACTCAGGAGGCTGAGGTGGAAGGATCCTTTGATCCTAGAAGTTCGAGGCTGCAGTGAGCCATGATTGTGCTGCTGCACTCCAGCCTGAGTGACAGAGGGAGACCCTATCTCAAGAAGGAAAAAATAAGAAGTGTTCAGCCTTTGGGAACACTCCATGATGAGAGGCTTAGGAAGGAAAAAGGCAAGAGACCCCAGGGATCTGATTGACAGGTGCTATGAATGCAGGCTAGAGGGCATTCAACCTGATGCTGAAGGTTGTGGGGGCTTCTGAGGAGTTTCAAAGAGGAGAGAGACCTGCTTCCCTAGTACTGGGTAAAGGAGTCTGTCTGAGTGGAGGGCTATCAGTCAGGAGGCTGCTGCACACTCCAGTCTCACCTTTGAAGAGATCCAATGAAGTGCGGTGGCTCACGCCTGTAATCCCAGCACTTTGAGTGGCCAAGGTGGGTGGATCCCTTGAGGTCAGGAGTTCAAGACCAGCCTGGCCAACATGGTGAAACCCTGTCTGTACTAAAAATTTAAACATTAGCCAGATGTTTTGGTGGGCACCTGTAATCCCAGCTACTCTACGGGGAGGCTGAGGCAGAATTGCTGGAACTTGGAAGGGAAAGGTTGCAGCCAGCCGAGCTCATGCCACTGCACTCCAGCCTGGGCAACAGAGTGAGACTCCATCCCCCAAAAAAAGAAAAGAAAAAGACCCCATGAGGAGCACGACCTGGGACCTGGAATCAGAGATGCGGTTTCTACATCCAGCACTGCTGGCACATCTTTAAAAGGTGGATCGTAATGAAGTTTCCTGTCTCACAGAGTCATGATGAGGGTTCAGGTTAATAATTGGGTAAGAAAGTTGTTTTTAAACTATCAAGACAAATGTTCCAGCCTGGGCAACATGGTGAAACCCCGTCTCTACAAAAAATCCAAAAAAAATTAGCCAGGCATGGTGGCATACACCTGTGGTCCCAGGTACTCAGGAGGCTGAGGGGGAGGATTGCCGCAGCCCAGGAGGCGGAGGTTGCAGTGAGTCGAGATCGCATCACTGCACTCCAGCCTGGGTGACAGAGTGAGACCCTGTCTCAATAAAAAAGAAAAAAAAGACAAATGTCAGCTTATATGAAAATAACATTTTCCTTTCAGTTGTTCCCTAGATGTGGAGAGCTGTCTCCCTCATGGAGGCCCCCTCTATGGCCCTTGGGCTGGGTTCAGATGTCGTCCTCCTCTCCTCCCTGTACCCCTCTCTAGGAGGAGCTGGCTCTGTGTGGCTCTAGGCTGCTGGTCTTGGGCTCCTTCCTGCTTCTCTTCTGTGGCCTCTGCTGTGTCACTGCTGTGTGCTTCCACCCGCGCCGGGAGTCCCACTGGTCTAGAACCCGGCTCTGAGGGCACTGGCCTAGTTCCCGACTCATTTCTCAGGTGAGGCTCTTTGCTCCAGTCCTGTGGGAGCAGGGAATGGGGCGGGGGTGGAGGTTGTAACTGGGGTAGAGCAGATCCTTGCACTCATCCTCAAGTGCTGCTGCTTCTGAGTCCCTGAGAACCTCTTCAACCACAGCTGTCCCTTAGGGACTGGGAACAATTTGACACCGTCAGCATTCAATATTTTTCTAATTACTTTTACTTTTTTATTATAAAATATTTAACACTCATGTAGAAAAGTCCAAAAGCATAAAAGGACAGCTTGGCAAATTGTTATAAAGTGGATACTTACAAATACCACTGAGGGAAGGAAGAGAATATTACCAGCAGTCCAGAAACCCCCCATGGTCCCTTCCTTCCTGACAATGCCCTCCCTCCCCTTAGAAATAACTACTGTCGGCCTGGCACAGTGGCTCATGCCTGTAATCCCAGCACTTTGGGAGGCCGAGGCGGGTGGATCATGAGGTAAGGAGTTTGATAACAACCTGGCCAACATGGTGAAACCCTGTCTTTATTAAAAATACAAAAAAATTAGCCGGGCGTGGTAGTAGGCGCCTGTAATCCCAGCTACTCAGGAGGCTGAGGCAGGAGAATTGCTTGAACTTGGGAGACAGAGGTTGCAGTGAGCCAAGACCGCACCACTGCACTCCGGCCTGGGCGACAGAGTGAGACTCTAAAAAAAAAAAAAAAAAAAAGAAAAAAAGAAATAATTACTGTCCTGCTTTATAATTTATTGCCAGGTATGCCTTCCTAAATAATATGGTTTGGTTTTACTTTTTTTGAACCTATATAGACAGAATTATACATATTCTTTTGTGGCTGACTTCTTTCAAGAAACATTGTGATTTTAAGACTCATCCATAACTCTAGTTCACATCCAAGCATTTGGGTAACAATGGTGAGTTAAGAAAGTTCTCGTTTGATGATTCATCCTGGATACGAACCATGTTTGTCTTGCTTTTGTCCTGAAATCCTGATACCCAGTTTTACGATGGAAATTTTGTAAAATTCAACTTGAACCTCTCAGAAGAGTCTAATTGATGATGCCCATTTACTGAGGACATACATATTATGTGCCCAAGAACTTGACAGGCACCTTCTCTCTTCCATTTAGTCATCATTACATTTAGAAAAGTTGATTTCATTGACAAGATCTTTGGAGGGAATCAGCTTCATAAACGTAGCAGCGGGTGGGGGACATATTGGTTAACTAGTTCACACGTCAGCTCACTAAAGGAAAAAATATTTCTGCAAAAAATCTTCACTTGTCAGAGGGGGCGCATATAATTTCAGAGCCCCATGTGTTATGCATCCAGCTCTTGAACTGGTCTCAGCTTGAGCTGGCTGCAGTCCCCTAGGAAGTTACTATGGGAGAAGTAGAAACAGTTCAGGCCCAGGGAACTGATCAGGCCAGAGGAAATGGAAGCTCAAGATCAACTCTGCTTATTTTGCTGATGGCTGTGCCTAAAGGCCCCAACCACCTACTTGGGACAGGAAATGACAGGACCCTCTCAACCTTGGATTGGGAAAGGAGGGCTTCCTGGCCCCTGGCAGACCCCAGGGTCCTGAGGCTACCCGAGTTGAGATTAAATGCCTGTATTGGTCTCTAGCTGTCACTCCCTCTGCCTTCCCCTAGCATCTTTCTGACTTGTTCTGTTTTATTTTCTTTTTCCTTAGGTGTGAATCTTCTTTGGCCTTGGCTCTGAGTTGGAAAAGGTTTTAGAAAAAATTGAAAAGCTGGAATGTGGGGGAAAATAAAAGCTTTTTTGCCCAGTGGTGTATAAGGTGTTTATTAGGGGTTGGATTGAGGTGGGGATTTTAGGGTAGGCAGGCTTAGAAGTTTTGAGAGACTCTTTCCTGTTGACTCTCTAGTTTGGACAGAGGTTTGCACAGGGCATAGGTTACTTCAGCCCTCCCCACGGTTGACTTGGCTTTGGAAAACACCTGTCTTGTTTTCTTCTACGAAATAAAATGGATAATTACAGTTAGTTGGGCGGGTGGGGTGTCATGTCATGGTAATGCTGTGCCATAAATGCACTGTGACCTTGGCATGTCATGCAACCCGCAGCACCTCAGATTCCTTAAGAGATCTAATCGACTGAGTTTTCCTAGCGTCGATGCGCAACGATTCCTCGCACTTGGGGTCCCTCGTCCAGTCTAGACGGTTGCTAACGTCGGAATAGTCCATTTTCCCGCCTTTTCCTCGCCCAGCGGCAGCTTCCCTTACCCCTCCCAACTTCCATCCTGCGCACATGCGCAGATCGCCACTGCTGTCAGTCCACCCGCGCCCCCTCAAAGCTTCCCCTAGCAACAAGCTCAGGCTAAGCGCGACGGCGGGACGGGCGCATGCGCCGCAGCTCTTTCCACCGCCAGTCCTGGGACAGAGTGCCGGGCTCCTCCCCTTCCAAGCCTAGCCCTTCTCCCCGCCTACTCCGGCCCGGGGTCCGCGTGGCGCGGCGCGCGCGCACTCGGGCTCGGCAGTTGCCGGTCTCCCGGGCCGCGGCAGTGCGGGGAGAGGGCGGGGCTGAGTCCTCTGCAGCCCCGCCTCCTTTGGCCCGGCGTCCCTACCGCGCCTGCGCGCTCCCGCCCGGTCTCCATCTTGGAATTGGGAGGAAGAGGGAGAGGGAGACCGGGACAAGATCGGGGCTGTGGTACGGAGAGAGGCTGAGACGGAGAGGAGGCGAGGCAGAGAGGGCGCGGGGACCGTCAGCAGCGCCTTAGCTACAATCTTCCAGCTATTCTCGGAAGAGAGAAGGGAGAGGGAGGAGGCCGGGCCGGGAGTGGGGGCTGTCACCCTCGGACCCCTGCGTGAGAGGGGCCGTGCGGCCGGACGTCCTCGGGGTGGGCCCCCAGTCCGTGGCCGAAGACCTAGGACTCAGGCCCCTGGGTCCCAAATTTCCGGGCTTTGTCCCTCGCTTCTCAGTTACCCGGGTATCAGTCCCCATAGTTCAGAAATCCGGGACTCGAGTCCCAACCTCTCTAAACCTGGGTCTCTATTTCATTGAATTTCAAATATCGGGTTCAGGCCCCTTCGTGCACCAGTATCTGGGGTTCATTCCCCAGGCATTCAAATATCAGATTCCGTCTCCCTCCCGTTCAAATATTCGGGGTTCAGACCCCACAATCAGAAATCCGGAATTCGGCAACTGTCGCCCTCGAGGAGGGGGAGGACTGGACCGCGAGGTCAGATCAGGTTGTCACCCCCTCCCCTCGAGGGGAGGCTTCCCAGGCCCGCCCCTCAGGAAGGGCGAAAGCCGAGGAAGAGGTGGCAAGGGGAAAGGTCTCCTTGCCCCTCTCCCTGCTTGGCAGAGCCGCTGGAGGACCCCAGGCGGAAGCGGAGGCGCTGGGGCACCATAGTGACCCCTACCAGGTGAGACATGGGGTGCAGGGGCGCGGGTCCCTGTGTCTAGCTCTGAGAAGAAAGGGTGCGCCTTTCTGAGAAGCTGGACTTCGGTAGGCCCTCTCAGGATGGGGAAGCCCAGCAGAGCCAGTGGTCAGCCTCTGGCCAGCCTTGCCTTCTGTTGTCTCCCTCTTCCCCTTCCTCTTCCCTTCATTGTGTCTGGTTGGTGGGGGACCTCAGGTGACAGGGTCTCTGATGTCACCGGGGTTCACACCCTAGGGTGCTTCAGCTAATCAGATGGATTTGCACTTCAGTCTTCTTGCCTTCACTTTGCCCCTCACAGCCACCTCCTCCCTGATATGCCCCTTTCTCCTGACTGCTTTGCGGTGTTGATTCCCATACCTCTGATTCCCATGGTGGGTCTGCTTATCTGCTTTTCAGGCCTGGTCTGGTTGGATTTCTTGTCCTTGCAAGGAAGTGTGTGTATGTGTGTTTGTGTGTATACGTGTGTGTTTTGAGGTGCCTGGCAATGTTTCCCCTTAACTGCAGTTACTTTCCAACCTCTTGCTGTGATGGTGTCCATAATCGCATCCATTTGTCAAACGATCTTTTACAAAGTGCTTTGATAGCCATTCTCTCATGTGACATCCCCCTCATTCACCCTGTGGGTCTCTTTTATTGGCATCTTCCCATTTTACAGTTGAGAACGTAGAGGCCCAGAGAGGTTGCCCAAGATCACACAGTGGCAGAATCAGAATTTGAACTCAGGTCCTCGGTCACATCTTTCCCTGATGCATGCCTGGTTCTTGCCATCTCTTTTCCTCTGAGTTTGGGCTCAGCCTAGGGGTCCCTAGGAGACCAGGTTGGGGTGAGATTTAAGAATGGGAATGAGATAAGCTTCCTTTCCAGGAGGGCTCTACTCAAAAGTTTTTTCTGATGGGAGGCTCTGGCTTTTGCTTCTGCCTCATGGAGTTTTCTATCCACTGTGACCTTCATCTTTACCCTGATCCCAGAGTTTGGCCTGGATTCCTGAGAGGGCTCTCTGTTGACAAATGGTAGCCTTAGTGCATCTTTGAACTGCTCAAGCCAGTCTGTTGGGGTGGAATGATCTCCCAAAAGATTAAAGCTTTGTGGGGACCTTGGAGGCAGGGAAGGAAAAATCCATATGCTGAGTGTCTGCATGGTGTTCCTAAGTATGAAATCTCATTAAAATCTTACAAAAGCTCCATGCTGTAATCCATTTCACTGAAGAGAAGACCAAGAACTAGAAGGAACTTACTGAAAACCCTGTTGCTGTACATTGCAGATGGGATGTACTGGTAGTATGGCTTAGGAACAGATAGATACAGGTTTCCTCATCTGTAGATTGGAGATAACATTACCCGTTTTGGAAGGTGGTTATGATTTAGCACAGACCTTGGTCATTGTTCAAGTATTTGTTGTTATTATGAGGAAGGGGACCTGCATGATATTTTGCCAGTGGATGGCACCCCTTCCATGTGGCCTAGGGTCCTAGATTGGCATTCTGGGGCCCTGTGTTGGTAAAGAGGTCAGGAAGATTCTTTTGGCAAGTTCAGAGCACCTGCCTTTGTGTGTGGGTGTATGGTGCGGGTGAGGGGTGCTTGGCACTATTGCTGGCAGAAGGAAGAAAAGGGCCTGCTTTGAGCAGCAGCCTGGGAGCTGCTGAGGGCTGAGCAGAGAGCAATCAATCAGTCTCCCAGGTTATTCTGAGCCCTCTGCACCCTGGGGGCCCACTGGAGAGTCAGGCTCCCTCCTTGCCCTCCAGCTTCCAGTTGGGCTGAGGAGACAAAATTAATAACACAACAGGAAACAATGCATGACAGAATAAATTACATGCTAAAATCGTTAGGTGCTTTTAAGTAGCTAGAACTCTGCCCCAGGAGTCCAGCTCTGCTGAAGGCTCCTTTGTGCCTAAATTCTGACAAGTGCTTAGGCTGGAACCTGTCTTAGAATCTCCTTGAGGGTCCTGGTTCTGGCATCCTGCAGGAACTTTCTCCGGGTGTTTGGCTGGGTGCCCTAGGAGTGCTTCCCAACGGCTGAAGTGGTCAGGACAGGCTTCCTGTGAGAGGGAAGCTGAGCTTGGGGTGACAGCCAAGAGAGTAATGGGCACACAGGCCTAACCAGGGAGCAGAAGGTCCTGTTCTCTGACCTTGGAGAAGTCCTTTTTCTTTTCTTTGCCTCAGTGACCTCACCTGGGAAATGGTGATCATGACTCTGCCCTGCCTATTTCGAAGGGATGCTCTGAAATCATACTGATGGAGGACCAGCTTTGGACAAGGCACTTAACCTTACCAAGCCTGTTTCTTCATCTGTAAGATAGCGGAAATCATAGTACTTGCTTCATAAGGTTGTGGTGAGGACTGAATAGAGATAATGCACGTAAGGTGCTTACTGTACCTGCTCAATAAATGTTATTTGTACCCTGTAAATGTCCTGTACCTGTGTGTGATGCTTATGCAATTGGACTGGACAAGTAAGGTAGCCCAGACCACAGAGAGGCCCTCACAGCCAGATGCCATTTATATCCCTATTCCCATCTTAGATCTCCCCCGTCCCCTTTTTGAGAGTGAGTCTGCTGGCCCCTCTGGGCCAGTACCCACTTGTAACAATGGCCGGATTTCCACCGCCTCCGGCCTGGCCATTTCCTGTTCTCCAGGGTGTGAGAGGTTGAGGGAGGAGGGGGCCTCAGCACCAAGGGGAACAGGAAGGTGCCTGGAAACAGTTGGGGTATGGGACTTGTGGGACAGGACACTTGGGGCTCTGGAGTGCTGCCTGGGAGGCAGAATGTTTTATCCTTGAGGGGAGATACAGGGGCTGTAGGGAAATGGGAACTTGTTGAGCGCTGAAGCAGGTGGTGAGGATGCTTAGCCTCCCAGAATCTTCCTAGCAGTTTTAGGGACTCCAGGGACCTAGCCCGCGTGATCTGGTTGCCCGGGCAACTTCATTTTTTGGAGCTTTGATGTTGTTCCTAATCTCCCCCTCCCCTTCCTCAGCAGTGCCTCCCCCTCATCAGGGAATGAGGGGAGGAGATGGCAGAAACTTGATGGGTCCCTTCCTCTTCCTAAAGGCCTGATCCTTGCTCTAAAGGTCCCATTTCCATTCCCCAGGCCAGGCCCCAATCTCAGGGCCCCCAGGGGCCACCATGCCAGCTGGGGGCCGGGCCGGAAGCCTGAAGGACCCTGATGTGGCTGAGCTCTTCTTCAAGGATGACCCAGAAAAGCTCTTCTCTGACCTCCGGGAAATTGGCCATGGCAGCTTTGGAGCCGTATACTTTGTGAGCTGGGTCTTGGGGAGGGTGTAATAGGGATGGGGACTCTTCCTATTCCTGTGGACCTCCCAGCAGCCCTTGCACACCACGCCCATCATACTGGCCTTTCCTGTCCTCTCCTCCTTTCCCATGCCCGGCTGTCAC